GGGGAAAAGCGGTGGTCGTATGTGGTAGTTGATGGTTACTGGCGGCGGCTGCAAGAGCATGATAAATTCTTCGGATATTTAGTGCAGAAACGTTGTTGAGCTTCAACTCCTCCAAGCGCTAGTCTCCTTTTAACTTGAGGTCTTAATACTCTCTTAAGAGAGGGTATGATTACATATTTCTTTATAGAGTCCGCGACAGACCCCTCTGCAAAAAGTAAATAAATTCGGACCACTCCATCAAACGGCTCAGTGAGATTTCCTCGATCGGACGGCTTTTCGTGAACATTTGAGTCTCTCAATGATATCAGAATTAAGCGATCGAGGGTTTGTTGGTTCATTACGTTGAAATACTTAATTTGATTATAAGTTTGTAATATTTTAAATATATTTATCATCAATTTTACAATGAAAGACTTCTAAAGTGGTTAAACGTCTTGATTCGTGTTTGATTTAGCTTGAATTAGATCAATTTTTTCTGTCCCGTTGTGAATTTCATTTAATGTCAATTCAATATAAATTTGTTGAAATTAAAATTTCAGATGAGTTTTAATTGAAGCTTTAACTTTCTGCATTTTCGTATAATATCTTGCGCCTCGAAAGGATAAATTTGGGATGACGAATTAAATTTAATCAATTAGAAATTATTCACTGTTGTAAGAAAAAAACTCGTTGTATGCGAACAGCTCGTGTTCGTGTTCGGATCGTAAGTTAACGAGCTGAACACGAACTAATTTTTAAAGCTCGAATTATAAATGAGCCGAACACGAACAACTCGTATTCGACTCGTTTTAGCTTGAAATTAAAAAAATATATATTTTTTGTAATAATATATGTATATATTATTTATATAATAATATATTATATATATTTATATATATATATATATTTAAATCATAACACCTTGTGTGATAATGTTATTATTGTCTTCTTTTGTATACATTTGGTCCATATTCAAACCAAACAATTTACATGTATTTTTTTCAATTTAATTTTAACGAGTCAATTCTGAAATGAACACGAGCCAAACAGGAACACGAATATTTAAATCGAGCCGAACACGAATACACTATTCACGAGCCGATTTCGAATACGAATAGTTTCGAACGAACCGAATACGAGCCAGCCTGAGCTCACTCATTTACGGCCAAACTCCGAAATAGTATGCAATACTCCTAAATTCATAAATAATTTAACAAATTAGATAAAAAAACTCACATTAGATGCGACATCACAAATTAATCTGACCAAATCTCACACAACACGATCACACACGTAATCTAATTTGACAAGACAACTCTTCTATTAAACTCGGAACTTGTCCGATCAACTGACCTGACAAACTATGGCATATATACCCCTTAATACTAACTAGAGAAAGATTTTTTTGTGCCAAAATAACGAGAGATTATTGTGTGCGGACAGGGCACGCTCCCATCACAGCCGCGCATTGCGGTGGCTATACGGCTGTGATCGAAGAGCGCGCTCAACTGCACACTATGATCGAAGAGCGCGCTCAGAGCGCACACAATAATTAGACCAAAATAACAGGACGAAGATCTAAATTTTGAATTCTACATATGTATTTGACTTCTTATTGATGTTTATATCAAATATTTGAATGTTAAGGTGTTAAGATAATAAATACATAAGCATTAGGAGACATATATGTGAATGTCCATTGTATTAAATGATTCAAATGACATTAAAAATAATACCTTACTTAATGTCTTCGTTACATTGCCATAAAAGTGCATGACACCAACCCCTTCGATCGAATGCCCAACAAGATCCTATTATGTTGTGCAAATTGTTAGTCGAGTTATGATTTTTCGATGAGATCCTTCTTTCTTTACATACAAACAACGAAACGAAAGACTCTGTCTATGCCTTTTGTATTAGCAAGACGCAATCTTAACTTTCTCTTCTATTTATTGAGAAAATATTGCGTCCAAAATCTGGACAGAATCTTCGTCCGGACAATGGACACGATACACAGAAGTTTTTATTTTTTTTTCTCCTCCGCTCCTTCCATATCACGTCTGTTTTCCGGATGCAAGCAACGCAGCTTGAATCAGGACTTCGGGCACAATATTTTTCCCCTATTAATGATCGAGAGTTTCACTATTTTGGGGATATTTAGGGTTTTTAGAAGGTAAGGCAAAAATGAGAAGGCCGCAATAACATTAAATAGCGATAATTTATGTAAATAGGATATTTTAGGAGGTAGATATAAAAATTAGCTAATTTTAAGTGATATAAAAAAATCCAAAAAAAAAAAAAAAATACAATTATATAAGCCTTTAATACTAATTTTAAAACTATATAAAACCCTATCATGTTTGATAAACTAAAGTTGAGTGAGAACAAAAGAAGTTAGCAGAATTTTGTCCACAAATGCTGCTTGCCAGAGACATAGAGACAGAGAGGAGATTTACATGCATACCTCACAACTCTTGTGTATTTATATATTTAACATCTTAAATTTTTTATTTACATTTATATCGTTTTGGTGCCATAAACTGCAAAAGTTAACTATTGGCATAAAAATACAGAATGCTACCTGTCCACACATCCTCAAGACCCCCACCAACCCCCACCGTACTAAAGAAACAATGACAATTGCAAATTAAAAAGCAGGAACAAAACATGCTGTGACAATTACAAATACAACCCTGATAAGATCAAAACATGCTGTGACAATTACAAATACAACCCTGATAAGATTTACATAAGATTTAATGATTCTAAAGATGCAAATGAGTTTTGATGCAGAATAAAAAGATAGAATACCTCTATTTACAGAGCGAAGCGAGAATGCGTCGAGGCGGCTCGAAGGATCGCCGGGAGTGCAGGACGGCTAAATTATCCACTAGAAGTATGTCTCCTTGCTTCCAAGGCATGGCCACACATTCTTTTTCAAGGATATCCAAGCAATCATACATAATATCATAAGGCAAAGGTGTTCCATCTCCAAATTTTACGGCTTTAACGGGATCATTTCGCAAATCTTTCCAACCGGTATAAGCGGCAACCATACTGTTGAACCATATTTTTCTCCCCCTCGTCGGGTCGAGTTTAATAGCAGGTATCGGACCCATTATAGTTTTAACGCCGTCTTCCATCCACTCCAGCTTCATCCCCAATCGAGCTGCTCTGAGGTTTTTGAAGTTGCACATCAGAATGGTCTGTGATTTTATAAATAGGCAAATTTACATTCGATAGTGCACACAATTCTTATGTATTTACATATCTTACACCTAAACTTTTATATTTACATTCATAGTACTTTGGTGCTTTAAACCTATGCATGAAAAGGTGTATTTTGCTTTCAAAAAGTGATAATGGTGCTAATTTTTTTTATGTATTAAGGATTTGAGTGCAGTGTGTGTAAAAATGAAAGTTTAGGCGTGAGATATGTAAATACATAAGAATTGTGTGTTATGTATGTAAATGGCTTTTATAAATAGGAGAACAAGAGAATGATAGGAAAACACAAAGCATACTGGTAAACAAGATTTGCAGATACAACATGTTTAAATTAATAATTTGAGACTGATGGCTCCGGGATTTGGGAGCGAAATAAACGTGGCAAAAGAAGAGATGAGCAGAAAATATAGTAAAGTTGAGTGCAAATTAAAAGTGATATAAAAGCATTATTAACCAAATGATAGAAACAGGACTTTAACAATCTATACGCACCAATGTTGACCACGAAATAAAAAGAAAAGAGAGCACAAAATAAAAGAAGCCTCCATACATTGATTTTATAAATAGTCATTGATAAATTTGATTTTATAAAAGAAGCCTCCATACAAGAGAAAACACATAAATTTGATTTTATAAATTTATGTGATTTTATAAGAGAGAAGCCTCCATACATTGATTTTATAAATAGTCATTGATTTTATAAGAGAGCACAAAATAAAAGAAAAGTTAACACATAAAACATAACCAATATTCAAAAAGTCATTGATTCTTTGTGTTCAACAAATTTTTGGGTGGACTTGATAACACTAAAGGATCCTTCCTAACTTCTTACTTTCTACAAAATTTGTTCAGGTGTTTAAATTCAAAAAAATAGAATGGTACTAGTTTACAACCGGCAACTAAGAAAGATAACTAATAACAGATTTATAATTAAGTTCTTGGTATCCTGTCAGTAATACTTAATTTGCACTCCTATCAGCCTGATCACTTCGCTTGCAAGATTTTCTCGATGCCATTTCAAATCTCTTTTATGAGCATAATTAGTTGCAGAGATGAACCTTGGATATAACCTGACAATTTGAACATTGATTTTGGTAATAACAGTTTGTTTAGCTAAATTAAATATTATTTTGATTAAAGCATATTTGATGCTTATCAACTCGGTGAACCACTTTTTCTTATAAGAAGTTAGTTTAGCTGAAAATCACTATATGAAACTGAAACAATCTTGAGATCAAAGAAGGTGAATCTAAATCACAAAACAAAATTGACATACCTTTCCTCTGCTACGTTTTTATCTTCGGTTAGAAAAGTTGAATGCCAGCCACGACCAATTGGAGAAGAAGGGTCATCTTCTGTCCCTAATACTCTCGTATAGATCAAACCATGATTCTCTAATTTCTCCACAAATTCTTGGTGCTTTTCCTTCATTCTCTCATAAATATAGTGGCTGAGAACAATAGGCGTTTCCCCACCAGTTTTAGGTTCCACTTCGCAGAAGAAAAATAGCTTTGATGGGTACTCTGGAACCTAGCAGACTATCAGAGCATTAAAATAACAAATAATGGCTTAAAATCTAAGGGGCCTTTACTTACATAACACATAATTCATATGTATTTACATATCTCACACCTAAACTTTCATATTTATACAATTAGCACTAAAAAATTTAATATGACAGCAATAATAGCACTATCACCACTTTTTATGAGTAAAATACACTGTTACATGCATAGGTTTAAAGCACCAAAGAGTCATGTATGTAAATATGATAGTTTAAGTGTGAGATATGTAATTACAAAAGAATTGTGCGCTAGGTATGTAAATTCTCAAACTCTAAATATTAACAATTGTGAGAAATGGTTTGAGAAATACCATAGGCGCTTATGCTGATATTGAGCAATTATACGATTTATATTCTTTTTTCTTCATCTTTGGTTAAACTCAATAGAAAAGCCATTATCAAATTACTAGGACTACTAATAAAAAGAATGTTAGAAAATGTTGCTCCAAAATTGCTAATCCTTCACTATGACAAACTCTGATCTCTAAGGGGCCATACCACATGGAATAAAAGCCCATCAATGAATGAAGGCTACGTCAAACCAAAATTAAAAGAATGCAGCCTTTTGAGTTTTGATGTTTTAATTGATGTGATTAAATTGTAATTTTTTCAAAATAGTAATGCTACACTTGGTTGGAATTTCATCAGAAACTCTAAAGTTAAACCTGCTTGTGCAGGAGGACTCCCAGGATAGGTAACCTCCTAGAAAATTACACAAATGGGATAAAAACGTGAGGCCATTAGGCCAAAGCATATAATATCTCGATGGGCGACAATCAACATAATTCATAAAGAACATAAAAATTTATTGCAAAGGTCTTGAAATTAAATCAATTTACATCAAATTTGCATTTTGAGACACACACCCATCCCCTACACACAAGGAAATGCTATACTCCCACATATATCCATATACTCAAGTTCGAGCCATATGACCTGCCTTGATCGTAGCTAATGCCAAAACTTCTCCAAATAGGCCAAACGAATACCCAAGTCCTTTTTTCCCACACAATCTTTCCGCACTAAAGAATAAATGTTTGAATCAATAAATAAAATATCCAAAAATAAACTCACTCAAATATAATCCAAAAAGTTATACAATTTATAGATATAACATTATATTTTTTATATGAAATATCAATTTTCTTAAGACAACCCTTTGCTTTTTTGGAAAAAAATAGACAATTGAACATGAGAAAAATCAGGTGTAAATTTGACTATTTAAAATTTCTTTAAAGCGGGTTATCTTCGCAGGGGAGATTCTCAGATGAACAAAGCTCGATTTTTTTTTCCAACTTTGTAGTAATTTTGTTCTATATTATTTAGTATCAGTGTTATGTTAGCATTACGACAAAAAAGACTAAACAAAACACTGCCAAATACATAAAGAAGAGCAACGATGCCCTAAAATGTCCACCAATTTGTATGGGATGATAGTATTCTTGTTTAATATCAAATCACAGCTAGGGTTACTTTTATCATACAACAATTTGAATAAATTTGACTGTACTCATTACATCATTTTCTTTGATGCTGCGTGCTCCCGTGTTACCGGCATGAACAATTGCAAATTGAGTGACAAGGATTACTAAACCTGGGCCATCTCATGATGAAATGGAATCTTCTGATCCGGCGGCGATTCATTCGCGGTGAAGACTCTTCCGACAACTCTTGTCCGCGGAGCAGCACCGCCGACGTAGGGAAGCTCCTCGTAACCAAACGCCTCGATGACTGCGTTGAAATCCGCGGCTGTCTTCACAGGGAATCCCCTTAAGAGAAGCGCACCGCTGGTGTGGAGTAGATTCTCCAGCCGCGGACGGTGGTCTTTCACCCCATCGACGAATCGCCGGAAATCAAGCTGAGTCGCCGGATCCGGAGACACGATCGCCGGAAAATGGATTCCTCCGACGATCTTCTGCGCTGGGATTTGCGTCTCTTTGAACATTTGAGTTAAATTACTTGTCAGCTTATTTTAGGATTTATAAAGATTTATATGTTTGTAATATTTTGTTATTTTAAGTTAATTTATACCGATATTAATAAAATAAATTAAATCACAATTAATATAAGATAACATTTTAATAAGTTATAAATTAGCATTCATTTATTAAATTAAAAAATAATCTCCACCTAGTGAATTTAAATTAATTTAATTTGTATAATTTGTTTTTCATTTACTAATATTGATGTGTGCTAGAAAATTCGCGGCGGCAGAGTAATGGATTGTCGTCTTAGTGTTGCACAAGAATTCAACACACACAAATAAAATAAAAGAAAAGAAGTAAGCCTGAGGAGATGATTGTCATGATGTGAAGGAGGTTCCTTCTCTAATGTGAAGGAGGTTCCTTCTCTAGTAGGATGAAGTACATCATTGGGAAAAGAAGTAGGGGGACTTCGCTTTCCCACAAATATCACCAAACTGATGCATGCTAGAAAATTCGTGGCGGTAGAGTAATGAATTATCGTCTTAGCATTGCACAAAAATTCAACACACAGAGATAAAAAAAAAATAAGCAGGAAGATATACCTCAACTTTTTACATTGAAAACCCTTGAAAGGGGGAAAACCCACGGGGGTTTAGTGCAGTTGAAATAATCCACTATGAATGATGAGTACACGAGTTCATTTTTCCTCTAAATTAGGGAAGATATGATTACAAAGTTGCATAACTATAATTTGGTTACAGTTCTTGGTGACAACAAGTTGCAATGGTCATTGTTGATTGTTGTGAAGGTAGTAGTCTGTCGTGAGTGTTGTAGATGGTTGCTCCAGAAGTGTTGATTGACCAAAGAAGCCATAGTAAGCAGTTGTGGAAACTAGGAATCATGTAGACTGTAGTTTGTGAGTATTAATGACTTTCTTAGGCCGTGGGGGTTGAAGTTGGGAGCTGCATTACCTGATGACCACATAAGTCGTTGGGCGCGAGTATTGACGACGTCTGTATACCGCTTGGGTCCAAGTCAAGAACTGCATGAGCTGATGATTGTGTAGGTCGTTATTGGCATATGGACCGAAGTGAGGAGCAGCGATGACATCCATAGACCTTTAGGACAGGAGTTTGGAGCTACATGAGCTGATGACCACGTAGGTTGTTGGGCGCGAGTATTGATGATGTTCGTATGCCGTTGGGGCCGAAATTTGAAACTGCATGAGCTGATGACTGTGTAGGTCGTTGTTGGCATATGGACCGTAGTGATGGGCAATGATGATGTCCGTAGATCGTTGTGACCGGAGTTGGGAGCTGCATGAGCTGATGAGGTGCGAGTATTGATGGCGTCCGTAGACCATTGGGGTCGAAGTCAGAAACTGCATGAGCTGATGACCGTGTAGGTCGTTGTTGGCATATGGACTGTAGTAGTGAGTAGTGATGACGTCCACCGACCTTTAGAATCGGAGTTGGGGGCTACATGAGCTGATTACCACGTAGGTCGTAGTTGGCACATGGACCATAATGGTGAGCTCTTGTCCCATTTCCAAGTTACAACATTGATTGATGGAGTCTGGTCGGCGGTGTTTGACTACGATGAGCGGTGCTCGACGAAGGTGATATGAGGGCATTGGCCGACGCGATCGCTAATGGTTGACGACGATCAGCAGTGGTCTATGGCGGTTGGCGGTGTTTCGACGACGGTCGGTGGTGGTTTTGGACTTCAGCTTTTTCTCAGAGCTTCTAATTCTCTCTAAAGCTTCTAGTCCCTCCTCTCATATGAGGGGAGATGAGCTATATTTATAGTGTTCTTGGTGTCATTAATGCATGAATATGAATCATTTTGATCGGAAGGTCCAGAGAGTTTCCTTAAATCGTGTGGTGTTTAATGGACATTTGAGTGCATTAATGATGTAGGAATTGAGTGATCTTGGGCTCGTTGGATTTATCTTGTTGAGACGCTCGATTCGAGTATAAGCTTGCTAGCGTCGGCATTAGTTCTTCCTTCCAAATGTGTTCGGAAATCCTCTTGGAATGTTTTAATGATTTTATCTGGAATTGATTTGACTCAAATTTAACTAACTTTGATATCATTATGTCCGCTTTATCGAGCTGGTCAGTTTGATCATAAGTTTACTGAGATCAGAGCTCTGGATGACTTTAATTGAAGTTTGAATGTTTCTTGTTTAAAAGATTGTATCGAGATTCTTACCGGATGATGAAAATTATTTGTGTCGTATCAAATATTAATCATTAGTACTAATTTAGCACAATTAAGCATGCATGAATGTAATTAAACATAGAAGTTATAGAATCAAACAAGGTTCTAAATAACATTAATTTAATTAACATAATCTGTTTTAAATCAATTAATAGTAATTCCATACATACCGCAATTCCTATATATTTGCATATCTAAAGCTTAAGCTTTAATATTTAAATACACATTCTCATTTACAGATTTAACCATTGTCTACAAAGCTCGTCGCTTGCCAACACTTCTTGTTCAACTCGTCATGGGGTTCGTATTTGATTCATTCGATGAGCAAATGAAATGAATACGAATGATTAATTTTTCTTCGACTTATAAACGAACTAAACACGAGCAAACTTGTGTTTGAATCGTTATTGTTTGAATTATAAAATAATTTAAAATATTTATATATAAAAAATTATCACGGTGTCTAAACATAATTTTAGATTAAATATAAATTCATAAAATTAAATACTATAAATTATAATTAATTAGAGCTTTTCAAATAAAAAAAAATACATATTAAAAAAATTAAATACTATAAATTATAATATATCATAAATTATTAATAATAATATATTTGTATTATTATAAAAAATTATATATTTATATAAATATAAGTCCTTCCCCAACATCGTGAAAAATTTCGGGTTGGGCTGCCTCTTCCTCGTCCTCTTCTCCTTCCCCGGCTAGCAGCTGCGAGAGCTTAGGGTTTGTCGTTTGTGTTCGTTCTCTAATCTCTGTTTCTATTTGTCTTCGATATAGTCTCTTTGTCCTCGGCGAGTCGGCGTTGGCTCGACTGCTCGGTATTTTTGCTTGGTTGATTGTTTGGCTACCGAACCCTAGCTTACAGAGACCTCCGAAACTCCCATCTTTCTTCTCCTTCCGCTCCGCTCCTCCCCAAAATAATTGATCAAGGTAAGCCAATTCGCGCCATTCTTTCTCCTCGCTCTTTCCGGATTCACTAAATCCGCCGTGAAATCCGCTGCTTTGTGAGAAAATTTGAAAACTAAGAGGTAGGTTGATCCAGGGAAGATGGGCAGAAGAGAGAAGGATGGATGGAGCTTGAAACGTGGGATCTGTAAAGGTGCTACTTTGCGGGAGGAGAACATCGGGAAGAAGGAGGTGGATGTGAGCTCGATTTTGAAGATAAAGCATCTGCAAAAATTGGCAGCTTGGGCGGGCGGAGAAGGGGGAATGCCTCCTCTTGGTGGTTTTTTTGGCCAACGTTTAGCAGCTACTGCTGAGGCTTTAGGGGTTCCATTGGATAAAGCATTCTTCTTTTGTGAAAGGTAAGCTGTACTTCTGCTTGTTATGTTTATGGGTTTCTTTTCTCAGGCCTTATTGATTGGTTGAAGATGATATTGTTAATTTTATTAGGGATATTTACATACATACCATTGAATTCCTACGTAATTGCATATCTAACACCTAAACTATGATATTTGTATGCATGACATTCAAATCTTTAACATCACATTAAAAATACCACTGTTATGTAATACTTAACTTTTAAACGGGTAATACTTGCACCTTTTCATGCATAGGTAAGGTGAAATATGTGTAAAAAATTGAAGTTTAGTTGTTAGATATGTAAGTATATAAGTGTTCAGTGGATGTATGTAAATCTTCCATTTTATTATCACTTACTTGATTGAGACATTGTTAGATATGTAAATACAAAAGTTTTCTATATTAGCTTTAAGCTCATTAAATAAATTTGATTTTCTTAGTAAAGAACTTGGTGGCCACATGCATAGCTAGATTATGTTCCATGAACTATGCTTTGCTTGACCTTGTGAAATTGAGGAAATAAAAAGAAGAAATCAATGTGTGTGAATTTTAAAAATGTTGTCTTTGTGATGTCAATGTGTGAAGAAGGATAGCAAGCATTTGCCTGGCGGTCATCCTCTCCCTCGAACGGCTTGGGTGATTTCTTCAAATGTTGTCACTTTGGAGAGGGATGATCTGGCATTTTGCATTAATCATAATCATCTTTTGCTATAAGAAAACATCCGCACATCTTCATTTACCAATCCACACCATTTTCCCAATTAGTCTCCCACAATAAGTCATCCAAATACCAAAAGGGTTCTATCGGCTTAACTATTGGCTAACTATTGCATGAAAAGTCAACAATACAATTCTTAAAGCTTTTCTGAGCCTTATAAGTCATTCATAAAACCTTTAAGAAGCCTCTGAAGCCCAATCAAGTTGGGGCATGAGGGCATCAATAACATGGTCCGGCTTATGAATGCAGAGATTGACTTATAGTGATGCTGAAAAGTCAACTATTTTGAAGAAATTGTCAATTGAGTTTAGTTGTTGGGATCGTCGACTTGGATAAGTCGATGATATGTCTACATCCATTCGTTTTGTGATATTTTATTGAAGCTCATAAACTCTTTAAATAAAGCTGATTTTGAAGTAGAGAAATTGGGGCATTTACATACAAACCATCCAACTCATATATATTTACATATCTAGATTCATGCATGGTAATGTGGCATATATGTAAAAATTGAGGTTTAGGTTTTAGATATGTAAATACACAGGAATTGAGTGGTATGTATGTAAATCTTAAAATTCGATTCACATTTGTACTTTCCACAAATATATTCCAAAAAAATATAAAATGATGAGTACTTACTAAAAATATCTAATAAAGTGTCCAAAAATTTTATAGAAATGACTAGAGTGCCCTCTTCATAGATCAATAAATATTTCATGTATGTGTTATATATATATATATATATATATAATGAGGAAATTGGTATTTTGTAGAGGCTCAAATATCGATTTCCTATGCGCTTGGCCTTATGATGAAAGTCCGCGTCATGTGCCTAAATATTCGAAAACCCAGCGTCACTGGAGATCGAACCCGTGACCTGAGGGGATTTACAATGAATTCCGACAAACAACAGGTTGTGGCTTGCGACACACACACACACACACACGTACTGACACCAACCAAGCCTAATCTTAATGTACTTTTTTAACGTGGATTAACTCAATTGTTGGATAACTTTGTAAATTATCTCCATGCTCTTCTTTTCCAACAATATAAATACTTTTTCTTTTTCTTTTTTCGCAGATGCGAAAGCAACCTCCAACCGGGATATAACTGCACAATTCGGATTGAAAAATGTACGAATAACAAGCGAAGGCGATCGAAGATGAAATCACGCAGCTTGCAAAACAATGTCATATACACTTGCAACTTCTGTCATCATCGCAACTTGATCAACGGCACCACCAAAGGCCACATCAAAACTCTAATATCTTCGAAAGAGTGGAAATTAGATGCCACATCAGAATCTAAACATCATAGTTCCATCAAGATAGATGATCGAGATCCTATATTGAAATCGGATTTTTATGATCAAGAGACTCCTTCAACTCCGATGCAACAACATAATGTTTCAGCAAAGAAGAAGAAGTGGAGGAAGACGAGCGAGTCGGAATCTGGAAAGTTGGAGCTAAGCAGCAGCAGAAGGAAGAGGAAGACATGGTCAAGTTTGAAAGATATAGTTGAGAAGAAAGAGGCTGAGAGTAATCAAAATGTTAGCAATTATGTGATTCCTTTCTTTATGCAGGCATAGTTGTGTAGATTGATTACTTATAATTATATGTATGTTAACTTTGGATAGACATTTATTTACATATCACTTAAATCTTATGTATTTACATTATTTAACACCAAAATTTCATTTTTAACTTTTTTCAAGCGGTATTTTTCTATTTGATATGAAAGTTTTTGTTGTGTAAATGTAAAAAGGGAAATATTTTGGTGTGGGACATGTAAAATACACAGGAATTGGTTAGCATGCATGTAAATGATGATCCTTATTAGTTTTAGAGAAATGTTGAGTATAATTTACTATGTGATTGGATAATTGGATTTTATAGTTTTGCACTTTAGTATTAACATCAAACAAACAAATAATCAATCAAGCCCTTAAAAAGACATCTTCATTTGCTAAAAGCAGAACCTGATTCATGTTAAATCTAATGCTCGAAAGTCATGCACAGTACAAACAAATTGGGACCGAACTGAAAAAATATCCTTAAAAAAGAAACGTTTTAACAAACTACAGAAGTAACAGAATGGTTCAAAATTCAAAAATCACAGCCACAATTTAGCATCCATTTCTCAAACCGCAAGAAAAAGAAAAAGAAAAGGATTATAAATTATAATCTCATACGTTGCTGAAGATAGCATTCACTTCTTCTTGCCTGCCTTGGCAGCCTCTCCAGCCTTGGTCTGCAATAATAATAATATCAACAATAACAATAAGGGGCATTTACATACAGCACGCAATTCTTATATATTAAAAAAATATCACCTTCACTAATTTTTTTTTTTTAAAAAAAGACAATTTCATCCATGTTTATGACAAAGGGTTTAAAATGTAAATATCAAGTTTTAGGTCTTTAGATATGCAAATACTTAAGAATTGTGTGGTGGTATTTGAGTGAATTTTAATAATAATATTATTATTATTATTAAAAAAAATAAACAATGAAAATTTCTTCTAGGCCTGAATCAACTAAAAAGATCAAAACTAACCTTCTTCACGCCACGGATTTTCTTTGCTCTGTTCTTCCTTTCTTTCATCTGCTTCCTTGATTTCTCCACCTTCGTGGCCAATCCATTCTGTAAATCATTACACAAACACCAGATGAGTAATTATCTGAAAGGTAAAAAATGTGAATATTCATTAAATATTACATTTTAAAATAATGATGAGATCAATAAAGATTCGTAGAGATTGCAAAGGATTAATTAGTGCGTGAAATTTTTAAGGAAAATAAAAATCCACATACTAAAAAAAAAAAACATAAGTAAATTAAAAAAAATAATATTATGAAGAAGATTCAAAACAGTGTGCAAAGACAATGGAAAAGCCACTGTAACTCCAACACAAAGAAACAAGAAGAAGAAGAAGAAGCATTTATCTCACTAAATTGGGTCAGCTAGATGAATCTTTATTCTCCATTTTGTTTTATCAAGTGTTACATATCTTTCCTAGCTTGAACAAAAGTCATATCAACACTTCTCTTTTCTATAACTCTCCAAAAAAACTTACAATAGAACCTTATCATAAGATTTTTTCTAAAACAATAAAAATCATATATAAATCCTACTTACTGGTGCTTCTCCATCAAACCTCTCAATAAATATGTGGAGTTGATTAAACTAAACGATCAGGAGGTCATCTAAATAAAAAATGCATATAAAATTTGCATAACTTCGAGATATAAGATGTCCAGTTGCCTTGTCAAATAAATACATGCTTTAAACCTTTAATGATCAACATTGAAAAAAGTTCTAATATATGTTTTCTGGCAGAATATTCATTAAATATTACATTGTTCGAGAAATTCGGATTAAAATCAGAACATTAAACATACCAAATATAAGGCTTTTAAGTTTTAACCATACTCTTCTAAAGCCTCCGGATAAATCATCAGTGCAGAAGAAAATTGTTCTTAATAAAAGATTGCAAAAGTTGTGAACAAAAAACAAATCCACTATGGTTCACCAAGTCATGGAGGGTGTTCAAGAGGCTTTGTTACTAAAATTATCACATCTAAAAAAAAAAAGAGGCAATTACATACATAGCAATCAAAACATTACTATTACAAATCCATCTTCAATCCATTTTTCAAATTCTTACCCAAATATCAAAGATTGTGATAAAACCTCAACCCATATTTATCATTTTTCTCAAATTATCAATGGCTTGACCATGAAAGTGTAAATGAATCAATTCGATAGTTTTAAAAAAATCACCTGAGCTAGTTTTGTAAATAGAAATGTTTTGAGTGATATAGATGTAAACACCATTTTTAAAGAAAATTTCTTAATCACATGGGACTCGTTTGGCGGCACATCACCGTCGAGAATATCTTTTAAAAGCCACACTTCAAAATTCCGCATCCTCTTCGTGATTCAGAATGGAAATATCAACGAAATAGCGTTGCGATGTAAAAACATTCAGAAAAAATGAATAGTCAAACGAACATTTCCATTTTGTGCACTTTCTACATAATAAATGGAGGCTAAACGGATCCTCATGGAGACTTAGTTTACTCACCGGGTTCCACTGACAAAGGCTAGAGTGGTGGTGCATGAAATTCCCTGAGAAGTAAATTTTAGCCCATTGAATGGCAATCTAAGAAATATATATGATCTGAAACACGACATGCTCACATCTCAAAGCACAATTCAAGAACTCACGCGTATCATAATTTCAATAATTTGTTAGTACATTTGATTTTCTCCGCTGTTGCAAAGCAGACTTCTTCCATATCGACTTCCATTTCTATTGGTTGCATCAATGGTCAAAGACCCCAAAAATGTTCAATACTTCTAAAGGGTTATACACGGATAAAAAAAATTAATAATTTTTGGAGGGACAGGCTTGGATTCAAGCAAGCCCATAGTTGACTGATTAAGGATAATCGAGCTATGGGTGTAAACAAGTGAGTCGAACTAGCCAACCTCAGCTTGAGCTGAAACTTGATTAATTATTAATCGAGTTCAAGCTCAAGCTCAAGCTTAAATCTATGGGTTCAAAATTGTTTGCTTATTATAAAAGAGAGAAAATAATATTAATTTAAGATAGTGTTTTAATAAAATGACAAAGAGAATGAACAACTAAGAGATAAATAATAAAAAATCACTTGATATAAGATATAAAATATTACTTTTTAATATTTTTAATAATTTAAATACAAAGTGTTAAAATATATTATATTTTGAGTATATTTATATTAATACTTTTTTTAAACAAGCTAGCTCGTAAGCTAACAAATCGATTAGGGTCATACTTGAACTTGGCTTGTTAGCTGAGCTAACAAGCCATTTATTGGCGCGAGGCAGCTTGGCTCACTTAACACCCCTAGGTCAAAGCAATTGTTAAGCTTAAATCAGGTAATACAACTCATTCGTTATGAAATCCTTTCTCGTCAAGTGGTAAGCCTAGAAGATGTCGAGGTCCTTGACAATCTTATTTCTACTATCCACCCACAACTAAGGCTTAACAAAACACTAGTCACGCTAGGATCTTATAACTTAGACCTTGAATTCATCCATGGGGTTCCAAAGTTCCGACCAATAAGTCACGCTAGGATCTTATAACTTTAGACCTTGAATTCATCCATGGGGTTCCAAAGTTCATCTGTGGAGTAGAATTTCTATGACAAAACACGCCAAGGGCTCTCACACCTGGCTTGGAACTCGCACACGATGGAAGCCTATCAAGACCATCTATTTAGTCTAATGAAATAAAAGAAAATGTTTAAAAATCATGTGTTAGCGTGTGAATGCATGATAAAATTTACATAAACACCACACAACTTTTATGTAATTACAAATATAAGATTTTGTAGTATAATCACATATAAACATATTTATGAAAAAAGTTTAATTTTTAAAAATTAGTATTATTTGCATGTTTGATCTGATATTTAAAATTCGGGTGCAATAGAAATAAATATTTCTAGATGACAAATATGCAAATATATGTAAATTGAATAGTATAAATAAATTTTTTTATTAATTTTTTATATTAAATCTTAAAAATTAATTTAGCATGCTTTATGCAGACAATACGTCATTCACAATTGCCTATACATGGTGCAAATATCACTTGTTATTTTGGTGTGCCACGCCATCACATGCAAATGGCGTCGATGGTTCACCATGCCATGTTCCATTGACATTTTTTTTTACGTGCTAATAAACCCCACAAGCTATATGTATGTGTACAAGTCCTAAAAAATATTTATAACCCTATTTTACAAGATAAAAACATCAGCGACCAAGTAAAGTTCACAAATTGCCCTTGAAACTTCATAAGCATATGATAACCCTACTTTACATGATAGAAACATTAAAGGCTTAGTAAAATACACAAATTGTCCTTGAAATTTCATAAGCATAAGTTATCATATAGTATGCTAACTCCATCTCAAATCTAACAGTAAGCGCATTCCTCATAAATTGAAGCCCTATCATATGCTGAGAGTGAGCCTTAAACCACATCTATACAACAACTTTCTTCTACAAAATTCACTTTTTCAATGGGAATAAATAAAAATGAAAACAGTAAAGGAAATGAAATAAAATTATTTTTTAAGCATTTGATTAGCAGAAAAAATTGAATACTTTTTTTTTTTCTTTCTTTCTGGTCTGGTTGAAGAGAAATTGAAAAAATTGAATACTTTTTTTCTTTCTTTCTGGTCTGGTTGAAGAGAAATTAAGGTATTGTTTCTTTAAAGAGAAATGTGAGACAAAACAATGAACAGATAATTTTTTCTTCTAATTTTTCACTAAGGTTACGCATGGAAGATCTGTGGTGCTCATCAAACAGCAATGAAGCACAATTTCAAATGTAAATAATCAGTAACATTTAGGTTTTTATATCAATCTTCAGAAATCACGTTCAAAATACTATTTTATTTAGAACTCGTACAACATTGCAATCAACAAGCAAAGAAATAATACTCTATTTTTAATGTTAGATTTCTAACAAAAAAGGTGAAAAGAGAAAAACAGAATCATACCCTGATAAGGCGGTATTTGGGCTCAAATTTCTTAGCGCTCTCTACAGAATCATAGATCAGGCCAAACCCAGTAGACTTCCCGCCACCAAATTGCGTCCTGAACTTGAACACAAAGATCGAGTTCTGATCCTTAACATCGTACAGCTTAGCTAGCTTCTCTTTCAACTCAGCCTTCAGTTAATCAACGGCAAGATAAAAAAATTACCAAAGAAAATAAACCAAAACGATCGAAAAACTCGAATAAAAAGCAAGATCTCAAGAAAAAACGACGTTCAGAGCGCACCTTGGACACATTCGGCCTTCCCGGGTGAAGAACATCGATCACCTGAAACCAAACAAGAATAACTCATCAATTATTGAAAACCAAAGGCTCCATCCCAAAAAAAGAGACAAATGAGGCTTTAGGGTTTTCTGAACTCACAAACTGCTTGCGAGAGAGAAGACGATTGGTCATGAACTTTCGGGTCCTGATGGTGACTGCTTTAGAATCCGCCATTGTTCTTTTCCTCCCTTCGATCAGCTAACACTCGAGCCGGCGATCGACTTGAAGAGAGCGAGAACTCGAGGAATGAGCGGCGGACGTCGTAACCACGAAACCCTAAAACCTCCAACTATTTATAGTGTCAACCAGTAAATTACCGGCCCACGATCATTAATTTTCTCATTTTTATAAATATATTTATATTTGTTTGTTTAAATTGAATAAATTTAAATAAAATAACAATATTTAAATCTTAACTAGCTTTTTATTTATTTTTAAAAATAAATTTATGCATTATTCAACTAGTAGTTTGTTATGAACTTATTATATATTTTATTATTTATTTTATATTATTATAATAAATTTTTATATTTATAAATTTAAAAGGATAATTTTAAATTTACATTACTTATTAGAAACATTTTTTAATCAATTTTAAATAACCTTTAAATTATATTTGAAATATGGTTAAGCCATGATGGAAAATATCTTCAAATCATATTTGAGCCTAGTCAATATATATCATCCTAAAATCATAATGATATTATAATGATATTATATTTGAATTAAGATCAAATCAACTTTAAATTATCATAATTAAACTAGCTTTAAGTTATGATTAGATCATCCTCAAGTCAAGAGTTGAAGATAATTCGATGATAATTTAAAATTTATATAAAACTAATTAAAAATTTATTTGATCATAATATAGAATAAAAGGATTTGTACAATAAACATATCAAATATATAAATGGAGATATAAAATTTAAAATTTCCTTATTAATATTTAAATTTCATGAAACAATATAAATAATATTGAATGAATTATGACAAAATTTGATGAAAATTTATTAATTTGTTCAATAATTAAGTTAAATGGTTTAAACCATTAAAATGTATTATATAATTAATTAAACTTAATTAGAATTCAATTATAGTTCAATTAATTATGGCTAAAATTTGACCCAAAAAATAAAAAAAAAAGTTAAATAAGATTTCAAACTCATAATAATCTCCATAAAAAAAATAATAATAAATACATGGAGGAGCTTGAAAATAAAAATATTCAATACTACTCATTCCTTTAAATCTTTACTTGTAATATACATATGGTATTTACATTTAGACCACTCAATTCTCATGTATTTATATATCTAATACATAATTTTTTTTTCTACATTTATACACCCCAAATCTTTCATATCACAAAAAAAAAAATTTAAAAATTAAAAAAAAAACACCATTCATGCATAAACAAGAAGACTTATATGTAAAAAAAATTGAAGTTTAAGTGTTGTTGTTGGTGATAAGATACCAGTTGTTGGGAACTATAAGAAATAAATCAAACAAGAGAACGACGGACGAAGCAAAAATAGAACGAGAAAAATTCATACCAGCAAACAGTAACACAACGGAACACATAAATTTACGTGGCTCGGCAAATTGCCTACATCTATGGAGTTGCAGAGGATTTTACTATTTGGGAATTTACACCAGTCGATCCTCTCGACTTACAAGAGGAATCTCTCACTTCGTTGTTCTCTGTTCTTCTCTCTTTACACCGATATACATCGAAGAAACTTTACACCGAGATACACCGAAGAAGATAAACTTACCAAGAAGAAGTCAAGGGAGAACAATCTTCTTCTTCCTTCTACCGCAAGGAACTACTGCTTTCACTTTCTTTCCTCTATCCCAAGGAAGCCCGAAGAAAAACACCAAAAACATGACTTAGAAACCCAAAGAGAGTCATTCGAAGCTTTTATCACGAACAAGAAGAATCGAAGGGATGCTTCGTTTCACATCAAAGAAAGGCGGGAATGGTTCTTGAAATTGTAAGGTCGAGGTCGCGACCTTTCGTGATCAAAATAGGGAGGGGGGCGAGATTGGGATCGCACCGATTTGCGACTTTGCTTCGCATATGTGCAGGAGTAGGTGGAGGCGAGATCTTCTATCGGGCTCCAACATTAACAATCTCCCACTTAGAAACCGATACACATGCTTTCTTCCTCAAATTGATATCCTCTACTGGCGGTGTCGACTTTTTCTTCAAACATGAATCCTCCACCTTCGCAACTCGGAGCCTCTGTCTTTACACTAGAAGACCAACTAAAGTTGTACACAACTTCAGTTTCTCAAGAGTAACACCCTCAGTCAACATATCAGCAGAGTCAACATAGCTTTACACCTCCAAGCTATTTCCTGGATTACTCTTGTCTCTGCTTACAACTCTCACTGTCTGGGCAATATCCTGTCTCTACTGAAAGCTTTTTTTAACAAGTCTAGCCTTATACCTCTTATTGTCATCATGTTCAGTCTTCACTAGGTATACCCACTTGTTGTGTAATGTCTTCTTCCCTGATGGAAGTTCTGTGAGCTCCCACTTGCTCAAACTTTCATCTTACAAAATTTTCTCATAGCTTTGTGGTTCTTCATCATCAACAGAACTATGAACTGCCAATAATAGTGCATCTTGTTCTTCTTCAGATACCACAATTTCACTATCATTCTCCATATTCTTGGGATTCTTGAAGTTCCTCTTTATGTGGCCAGTCTTGCTACAATTCTAGCAGGTTGTCTGCTGACCAGACTTTGATTTTGATCTCCCTTTATTTGAGTTACTGCCCCGTCATCTCGCTATGACATCAGCATTCAGTGTTGAACTCGTACCTGAGATCTCGCCAGAATCTTTCCTGCACACCTCCTCAGTCAAAATTAAATCACGAATATCATCACATTTCAATTTAGATTTACCTACAAAATTGCTAATTGTCATCCTCATGACTTTTCAATTATTTGACAATGATGTCAACAATATCAGTGCACGCATCTCATCATCAAAATCAATTTCAATAGGCAAAAATTAATTTGTGATAGTATTGAAATAATTTAGGTGTTAAGCAACAGAAACATCTTCCATCATCTTCAAGTTGAATAACTTTTTCATCAAATATATCTTGTTATTCGCCGATGACTTCATACATACCTGATAAGGCTGCCATGAGGTATGCAATTGTCCTCTCCTTGACGACATTATGTGCAACGGACCTCGATAGGGTCAATCGAAACCCTAAAAAATTATTGATCCAACAAATTTCATTCAACCCCATCAATCATTTTAGGTCTTTTCCCCAATAACAGAAGAAGAAGATTCTTCTCATAGAGGTAGTCATTTATCTGCATCCTCCAATAACCAAAATCTCTACCATCATATTTCTCGATCTCTGAAACTTTCACTTCATCTGCAATCATCATTTTTCCTCAATTTCTCTTCTACCACAAGCCACCAAGAAAAAACCAAGGGAGAACAGGAAAGCGATCAATGAAGCAAAAATAAAATGAGAGAAATTCACACCAGAAAATAGTAACACGACAAAACACACAGATTTACGTGGTTCGACAAATTACCTGCGTCCACGGAGTTGCAGAGGATTTTACTACTAGTAGAATTTACACTAGTCGATCGTCTCACTTACAAGAGGAATCTCTCACTTCATTGTTCTCTCAACTTCTCTCTCTACACCGAGATAAACTGAAGAATCTTTACACCGAGATACACCGAAGAAGATAAACTTACAAGTAAAATAAACTCAATTTCTCGTCTGCCACAAGACACCAAGAAGAAGTCAAGGGAGAACAATTTTTTTCTTCTTTTTTCTTCTTCCTTCTACCACAAGGAACAACTGCTTTCATTTTCCATCATCTATCCCGAGGAAGCCCAAAGAAGAACACCAAAAACGTGACTTAGAAACCCAAGGAAAACCATCCGAAGCCTTTATCCCGAACAGGTTGGAGCGAAGGGATGTTTCGCTTCGTGTTAGAGAAAGACGAGAACAATTCACAAAACCGTAAGATCGAGGTCGCGACCTTTCGCGATCAAAACAGAGAGGTGGGAGCGGGATCAGAATGACGCCGATCTACGACTTTGCTTCGCATGTGCACGGGAGTATCAGAGATTTGGTTCGAGGGAATGGCGAAAAGCGAGTACGTGATGGAGTCGGAAGCCACTAATGTGGAGTCATCTCAAGGGCGAGGCCGACAAGAGCAAAGAGACCCCGTTGCACCCAAGCCACATGGAAGGTCTAAGGAGATCATGCATAGCTTTGATTCACGCCTTGTTAGGATGGAGGAGGCAATGAATGACATGGAGGGCCAAGTAGAGGAACTTGGCCAAAGCACCATCCATTCAACAATCAGAGGTATGATGCTCCAACTCGAGGAAACCTTAATGGGCCAAGTGGCTAAGTTGCATGATGATTTTATGGGGAAGCTCCAAGAGGTGCGGAGTTCCTATAAAGAAGAGATGAGCGACATACGTGCTAGCTTGGAGGAAATGCGTGGGGACATTTCGTTGTGCAAGAAGGCACTCGCGTCGTCCACAAGCCATCCCACATTCGAAGTCAGGAGAATCGAAGTTCCAAAACCTATGGGTTTTGGAGGTACTCGCAACGCGAAGGAAGTAGACAACTTCTTATGGGGACTAGAGCAATAATTTGGAGCGATGGGGATTGCCGATGAAGATGCAACGCAAAAATTCAATTTGCTTCTCTCTATCTCTCAGACATCGCTATGCTTTGGTGGAGAAGAAGAAAAGGAGATGTAGAGAAAGGTTTGTGCACCATGTCCACTTTCATTGACTTCAAGAGAGAGCTAAAGAGACAGTTCTATCCCGAGAATGCCGAGGTTTTATCCCGAGAATGCCGAAGACGAGGCTCGAGCCCGGTTGCGAAGGCTTATTAAAAATTGGCTTCACTTGAATCAACTTAAGGAAAAAGACTTAGAGCCTAGTTCTTGAAGTTCTTGAAATCCCAGATATGTCAGACAATGATGCTCTCTTCAACTTCATGAATAAGCTTCAACACTGGGCAAAGACTGAGTTTAGGAGGAGGGGAGTGCAAGATCTTGCCACTGTCATCGCAGTTGATGAAAGCTTAGTTGATTATTCAATGGAGTCTAGAAAGTCTGAAGATAAGAAGAGTTATTAACATCAAAGGTGGGATGACAAGGGCAAAAACAAGGAAGAGAAACGTCGTGAATCCACTCCAACCAAGGCAAGAGATTGTCCTCAAAAGAAGGCCCTCAACTCTATCCTTGCAAGCCATAAAGAAGAAAGTGATATGGAAAATGACGTGGAGGCACAAGTGGGATCTCTTCAAAAGCTGAATGCAATGCAAGCTCCAACAAAACCCCAAGGGAAGGGGTTACTCTTTGTGGAGATGACAATATGAGGGAAGACTACCAGGGCAATGGTAGATACGGGGGCTTCCCACAACTTCATCTCCAGCGAGGAAGCAAAGAGATTGGGGTTGTGGATGACTAAAGGAGGGGGCTCTATCAAAGTCATCAACTCAGCAGAGATGTCGATCGACGGATTGGCTAAAGGAGTCAAGACCAGCATTGGAGCATGGTCAGGTAATCTTGATTTCTCTGTCATTCCTTTGGATGATTACAAAGTTGTCCTGGGAATGAACTTCTTAGAGCAAGCAAGAGCATTCCCAATGTCATTTGCCAATAGCCTGTGTATCACGGAAGGGAGTCTAGCTTGCTCAATATCGATAATAAGGTTAAGCAAGCAAGAATCCAAAACGCTATCGGCAATCCAGCTAATCCAGCTCAAGGACAACATTTCACAGGACAAGGGGGACGACTTGGCTATCCTTCATAACAATTTCATAACAATGAAGGAGAAAAAAAAAATCCCAAAGAGTTGGGGTGCCAAGGAACGTGGTGGAGGCAAGAGATAAGCCGCCAGCAAGGAAGATGTGTTGCACCAAGGAGAAGCCATCCATGAAGTTGTTATTTTTGTGCCTTGAATTTGCTAATTAAGTTTAAATATAGCACCTTAATATTGTATAAATTTTTGTGCCTTGAATTTGCTAATTAAGTTTATTTTGATTGCGGTTTCCATTAGCTTTTAAAGTTTGCAGATCCTATTTATATATATATGTAGTAAATGTGGCTGAGTTATATTAATCGCAGGAGTTGTGAATGATGCAACCTAGTTATCATCCCTATGTAAATTTAGTTGCTTGTCTGTTTATTTGTAGAGGGTCCTCTATGCCATATTCTTAATTCTTTTTCAGTTTTACTAGGACTTGAATGGTAGGTATGATTTCAATTATATGTGCATTATTATGGATGGTGTATTATAGGATATGTGCAAAAGCGCAAGTATTTTATCTCTTATTTGGCACATTGAATTCTGTTGAATTTATCCGTTGTTCTACTTTCATTGATATTTTGTATTTCAAAGTGCAAATCTCTGATGTCCTAGAAACTAAGCATACATAGCACCTTATCGATTATGATATGAAGAGGAATAGGAAGCTTCTTATAGTTTATTCGACTTTCACAAAATACTCGGTCATTCTTTACAAAGCAAAATCCGGTAGACTAGTTCCTTGTCAAATCCTTCGTGTAAGATCCAATTTCTTGCTTCTAAAAGATATGCGGTTGTGTACATAAGGGATGTTTCGCTTCGTATTCACGAAACCGTAAGGTCGTGGTCGCGACCTTTCGCGATCAAAACAGGGAGGTGGGAGCGGGATCACGCCGATTTGCGACTTCGCTTCGCATGTGCGCAGGAGTAGGTGGAGGCGAAATCTCCTATCAGGCTCCAACGCTAACAAGAAATGTAAACGAATAAATATAAAAATGTTAAATCCTATTAAAATGTTGAGTCCCTTATTGTCTGTGGGCGCATAAAACTTAGAAAAGATCTGTGAAGAAAGTGATAGAAGAAAACAAATAAATGCCCCATACATCCTCTCCTTAAATCCCCTAGCAGAATGGAAGAAGAAGGCAAAGAAGATTTCCTTTAAATGGTAGAAGAATCTCTATTTATATGACTTCGAATGACTTCTCCCCCCTCTATCGAGCTGAGAAGAGATAATATTAAATTATTTTAATATGCGAAGAGGTCGATCAATTAAATGCCAATGAAAGAAAGATATGATATAGATGTCAAATGATTCATAAATAGACATAGACATATTTCATGCACATAGAACAACAACTCCATTACTTTCGATAACGCGATGTTATTAGTTACTCCAAGAGACGCAATATTGCATTTCAAACTATCCACATTCTCTCCATGTGTAGCAACTTATGTAACATTCTTTGGGCATGACAACCCCCAAACTTATAAATAAGAGAAGTCATCTTCAAGTTGGGATCTCTTTTCGGCTTCTCTCGATCAACCGTCAAGTCAACTTCTCAACTTTCTCTTCTCTTTACAAACTCCCCTAGGTATTGTCAGACCATTGACATTTGTGAATTAAACACAAATAAGCACATATATCCATAAACATTTCAATTAAATATAGACCTAATTATTATTCCAGTTCAGCTCAATTAAATTTAAATTTGAATGATAATGCCAGTTCACATACAAAAAAGAACATTGTTCATGCCATCATTGCATTAAAAAACAAGAAATAAACATATAATACGAGCAGATAAATTAAGTATTTAAGCAAAATTACTATCAATAAATCAATATATTTATTTCCGAAAAAATAAAAACAAAATACCAGCACGTTAGATGAACAAATCCACCTCGATATGCATGCCAAATATAAAATCCACAGGCATTTTTAATACATATATATACACGCACAATATGCTGCAACAACACAATATGGCTGAAATGACAATTGACATTTAGAACTAGATTATTATTGTTAATTAAAGGGCTGAAAAATCTGAATTTGCTTCAATGTTTTAGCAGGTGCAGGTCCTCCTTATGTCAGTTGCAGTTAAGTATGGTTATTTAGCCTGTACAGAAGAGAGAGAGAGAGAGAGAGAGAGAGAGAGAGAGAACAAATAAGGAAGATTTACATACATATCATGAAAAGATGTGTTTTATTTTTAAAAGTTGTAGTGATATGTTTTATGTGATATGAAAGATTTGGGATGGTAAAGGTGTTAGATATGTAAATACACAAGAATTGGGTGGTATGCATGTAAATTGCCCCAAAAATGTAAATACCTTTTCTTCTGTTGTTTGATATGAGCTCAGGTCAAGATGTGTAGCTTTGTATCTCTGGCTCAAATATGCTGCACATGTTACAGGAGGGTACCTGCGATGGTTATGAGTGTTAATACATTGAGAGAAAGAGAAAATAAAAAAAAAAAAAATAAAAAAAAAAAACTTTTTTTATTAATACATTGAGAGAAAGAGAAAATAAAAAAAATAAAAAAAATAAAAAAACTTTTTTTAAGGGAGCAATTATATACAAAACTAACACTCTCTTTCATCACTTTTTCAAAAATTCACTCAAATATTAAAATTCATAATAAAATCCCAACACATATTTTTCATTTTTATCAAATTCTCAATGATTTGATAGTGGCACGGCTAAATACAAAGGTCTAGTAAGTCAAACAAATGACATAGGGGTTAATTTTGTAAATAATAAAGTTTCGAGTGTTATACATGTAATTATCCTTTTTTTTTTTTAATTTGATTTACTTACACACCTGCCATTGATATTATGTCATCGGCAGAAAATAAGGGGCTGTTTAGGTTAATACATTTAGAAGAAAAAAAAAGAAAGAAAGAAAAGATGATCGATTCACAAACGTATGCCATTTAGAGGTTGTCTGATTCATTGTGTTAGCTTATGTTGGATATTAATTTACAGCTTTTTCATAATGAAATCATGTATATATTTTGAAGTACTTACAAACTTACAACACTAAGTATCACATACCCAAATATCAAAATTTAGGTGTTAAATATATATACACATATAAGAATTGTGTGGCATGCATGCATGTAAAACTACCCATCTTTAAATGATAAGTTAAATAAGGGAAATCTACATACATAGCACACAATTCTTATGGATTTACGTATCTCGCAACTAAAGTTTCATATTTACACGGATAACACCTTCTACGTGAAAAGATGAATTTGACTATTAAAATGTGATAATTAGTGCTATTTTTTATGTGACGCGAAAGAATTGAATGCTTTGTGTGTAAAAATGGAAGTTTGGGTGTGAGAAACGTAAATCCATAAGAATTGAGTGCTGAGTATGTAAATGCCCCATTAAATAAAAGGCAAGTAATCACATTCAAAATTTAGTGTGATGAGATCTATAAGAAGTATAACAACGTATAAATGCCAAAGCTATCTAATCATGAAAAAGTTGATGAGATTACATTATATAGCATTTTATTGAATCAAACAGAACTGTATTAAGCAATCACACCATTAAAAGCAAAAAATTAACATACAAAATTCTCAGCCTGACTTGATATTTTGGCATAAGAAGCTTACTTGGGTGGGTTAGTCTCAGAAGTACAAGATGGCAAACACTCCACAAGACACTCATGGCTTGGCTCCACAAAATATGCAATCTGCTCCAGAAAAAGGACCAAAAAAAAAAAAATCACTGAAATATACTTGGCAAGAACATACACATTCATGATAGGTAAACCTTATTTAAAAAAATATATCTTTCACCAAACAAGGTGTAAAAAATTAGTATTGATGTTTTTTAACGATAAGAAGCAGCTTAAAAAACATTAGATTAACATATAAAACTTAAAAAAAATTAGGAAGATTTACATACATACCATTCCATTTCTATGTATTTACATATCTAACACCTAAACCTCAAATTTTTACATATGTACGACCTTTATTTCAATTTTAAAAGTTAAACATGATGGTATTTTTGATCTGATATGAAAATTTTGGGTGGTATAAATATAAAAGTAACATTTAGGTTTTTGATATGTAAATACATAGGAATTGGGTGGTATGTATGTGGATGCCCCAAAAATTATAGTCTAATTGTACATAGTGTGACAAAGCTTTATGGAAAAGGAAGCTAGGAAGAGGATTATGCCTCATTGATGCAAATCTGAAAATCTATATTCATTGGAAATGCAATTCATGCGTATAGAGTTATAACTTTTATTTTCTTAATTTACTTTAGTGTAAAATTACACCAACAAGGTATGTTATCAAGTATTTTGAATGGTTTCTTAGAACTAACTCATCATTTTATGGTTACAACTTAGCTCATTGTATTCTAAATAGCACTCTTTGGAGTCCAAAATCAATACTACAATGCAAAGTGTTAATTACCACTCAGTACTATTTCTATTTCCGTAAAGTACGATCTACTACACCTCTTGTTAGGGTTTAGGGAAATTTACATACATACCACACAACTCGTATGTATTTACATATCTAACACTTATAAGTTTGATATTTACACTTAAGTTACAATACTTAGGTGTCATAAATGTATACATGAAAAATGTGTGTTTCACATTTAAAAAGTTAATAATGGTGGTGTTTTTGATGTGATGTTAAAATTTTGAGTGTCATAAATGTAAATGTAAAAATTTAGGTGTTGGATATGTAAATAAATATGAATTATGTGGGCTGCATGTAAATGCCCCTAGAGTTTATGACCCAAATTTTTATATGAGCTTAATTGGTTGCTGAACTTTATAATTTGCTACTATTTTCTCATATAATTATAGATTTTGGATAATTATTAAATTATCTTTTAGAATGAACTAAATGTATCCGTAGTCCTTACATTAAAAGCAACAAATTTTTGGCAAAATTATGGATTAATAACTCATGGATTGTGAATTTTTATATTTTCATCTTGAATATCATCTTACTTTTACAATAGAAATCCTAGACCTTTAACCATCTCACATCACTCATAGAAGATTAAACCAAATTGGGCATCATTCAATGAAAAAATTAATATAATAACCATAAAAATACTAAAATACCACATAAGATGCTACAAAAATAATTATTTTCTTTCGAACAGAAAAATAATAAAATGATGGGGCTTACAGAATAACGTTCTCGTCCATCACTGAGTACTCGGTGCAGTGTGGACCTGCAGTAAGGCAAAAACTTGTGAAAAACATACAATGAAATAGCTCAATCAACGCCCCAACATAACATTAAACTAAATCTACAATTGCGAGTTAAGCATACACCCCAATTCTAATGTCTTTACATATCTAATGCCTAAATTTTGATTTTTACATTTATACAACACAAATCTTTCACATCACATAAAAATACCACTATTTTAGCTTTCAAAAAGTGTAATACACCTTTTCATGCATAGGTAATGTGGTATATGTGAAAAATTGAAGTTTAGGTGTTAGATATGTAAATACATAAGAATTGAGTGGTATGCTTATAAATCTTCCAAAAACAAAACATGAAAGCAGCAATGCTATTAATGCTAATGTAATCCTGAAATATAAATCGTTATATTGTAGTGTATAACACATACAACAATAAAAATGTTATCTTCAAGGATGCTATATATGCTGCTTCATAAAAAATCCTCATCTGATATTTTAGCAAACTCTACTTGCATTTTACCTAACGAGCTATAAGAAATTTCAAAGTGCAAGTTTTAAATTGTGATAACTTTTGATCTTGTATTGCATAAATATTGTTTCATACTGTTGAGATAATATAAGAAATGGCTTGTTAGAATATTTGAGAAGAGCCAAAACTCAAACATAAATAAAGAAACATCAAGATTCAAAAATTCTGGATGGACAAAATTACAGGCAGAGGAGAAGATTTCACTAAATTGAAAAAAAAAATTTCATTGACAGGGCGGGCTTAGAATTTGGCGATTCACATAGCATAACATCCATAAAAACCTTATTAATCACGCGCACACAAATATATAATGTTTATATATACATATGTGTGTGTACACACACATTAAGAACCTAAAAAAAGAAGCTTATTTGGATACTCAAGCACGCCAAAAGAATATGTTTAGTACATTAAGAGAGAAGCTTTCGAAGATGAAGAAATCCATTAGACAGGAAGAGCAATACCTAAAAACACCATTACTCCACCGCTCAAGCATATCACCAAGGTTGACAATGAAACCTCTGAATAAGACATAAAACTTGAGTCAATACACAGCGATTAGATAACATTGTTTTCATAATAATGGTGAAGTAAACATGTTTTCCTAGTAGGAAGCTTGACACAAGTACCGCTCAATTCTTATGTATTTACATATCTAACTCCTAAAATTTAATTTTTTACATGCATGCCATCTTACATGTGAATAAAAAGGTGTATTTCAAATTTTAAAAGTCAAAATAGTGATATTTTTTATGTGATATGAAAGATTTATGTTGTATAAATATAAAAAGTAAAACTTAGGTATTAGATATGTAAATACATAGGAATTGGGAGGTCTGTATCTAAATGCCCCTTCATAGTATTAACTGCAGGAATAAAAATGTCTAAATTATAACTCTATATTATTTATCGCCCGACAAAAGAATATATACATTAATAAAAAGGTTCAAAAAGGAATGGCCATAGTAAAATCAAATTAGTTGACTTTTTAAAATGTAAGCACAAAATTCCTTAAAAATTAATGAACATGATGTAAATTACGAAATATCCATAGGCCATCTTCAGCATGAGTAGGCAGTAAGATTCTAAACTCCATCTTAATCCCCATAATAGGTATGCTTCAAGTTCAAGGTGAGTAGCAATTTAAGGCCAATTTAAAACCAAAGTTCACAGTCTAAACTTCAAATATCGAATAGTTTAGGTAGGAAAAAGTATTAAAATAGTCCCTGGCTTTTTTTAGATGTAATTTTTAATCCCTAAGTTTATAAAAATGTCAATTCAATCTCCAGACTCTTTTAATGAGGCCTAAAATGGTTCTATGGGTACTACTTCAGCCCATAATAAAAGAGTATAAGGATTAATTTGGCAACTCTGGGACTAAATGGCCGGATGTAAATAATCAGGGGACTATTTTTACACTAACCCCTTTTCAGTTAATATTCTGTGGCAATCTCAAGAACCCACTTGCAGAATGAAGTAAGGAATTTTCTAGTTTAGAAACTAAGAAAGAAACAAACCCTTTTAGAGGAGCCACATATTCCCATGTCTGAGGCCGCACATCCTTATCCTTGCATATCTAGGAAGAGAGCAAAACCACGTATTACGTATAGATACCACCAACGAAAATTTGAGATGCAAAAGGGATACTTTGTGCTGATTACCTCCCCACTTACCTGAAGGCCAACTACATCATCCGTAGCTAAGAGAGTAATTAAACCATAATCAGTATGAGATCCACATCCATATATCCCCTTTGAAGGATTAGAAGCTTTACCTGAATTCATAGAGAATAATAAATCCATCATGCCATAAATCAGAATACACAAACCTGGCCTGGGAAGTACATACCTCCTTCATAGTGAAGAAGCCTTAATGTTGCAATGGGATCACCAAGCATTTCGGGTTTATCAAAGAAATCTACATCTAAGTCGAGTGCAAGAGCTATGATCTTAGCAATTGACCGAGATACTCTCCTGTAAGAATTTGAAAAATATTATCTCAATGTATTATAATTAAAAAAAAAAACACATGGGCATTAATTTTGTAAAAATGCAAGATATGTGTATTAGAGGTGAAATTCCCCAACTTTAAAGAGAGAATTGTGTGTGCAACTTAATTTCTTAATTTACAAGAATAACATCAAAGTTTTTAAAGAAAACAAGAGAATTAATTTATTTGCATGCAAGACAATCAAATAATTAGGAAATGAAAAAATAATTGAGAATACAAACTAAATTTCTTTTTTTTTTTTTTGTGCTATTTAGGACTTGAGTGGCATCCCTATAAATAGAAACACTCAAGGGCTGCTTGGGACCACTTTTGATTTTGATTATCTAGTTTTGTTTTTTTTTTATGTTTTTACTTGAAATAAAATGTCTAGTATGCTATAACATGTTTAGTTGTTTTTCAAAACACTCAAAACAACTTTTAGATATATTTGACTCTTTTTTAACAACAAGCTAATTTATTTTTGAAAATAAAAAATAAAAACATGAAAAAACAAAAAAATAAAAAATTTGTACTAAACAAATATGTTTTTAAAATAAAAGCAAATGAAAAAACAAAAAAATAAAAAATAAAAGTGATCCAAAAAAAGCATAAAAAAAGCCTATAGATGCTATTTTTAAGCAGCGATTGTATCAAGATACACAAATACATTTTGAATGACAATAAGAAGGCAAAAAAAAAAATATGTAGAAAACATGAGCTTAAAATTACAGGACATTTAAATCTTTTAAGAAGACAATCATGTTCTTTTTTATTTTTATTTAGATGAATTCTAGTTTATAGCCATTAGTCTTGGCTACATTTTATATATTATCTATTTATCTTGATATAAAATTATGATACTTTGATGCAAACTTTTTCATATTTCTGTAAATACACAGCATACACACATGAAATTGCCGCAAACTTAAAGTTAGACAATTAGGAAAACTGAATTAGAATAGGAATGCTGAGATTTTTAGGGAACTTAGAACACCAATATCCCTAATCTCTATCCACCACATAAGAAAAAACAAAAAAAATATTGACCCTAATGCATACAACGAAAATCTCTATCATTCAATTAATAAATCTTAGCTTCTAGAAAATTTGAAATGCCTACTAGCATGTCACAATTGTGCCATTTAAATGCCTCATTTCAATTAAATTGAGAATATAATACTTGAAAATTTTCTTTAGAAAATTTGTATGAGATTGAGGACAAAATTTAATGTTTACTTGATGATTAAATAAAATATCACATTAAAAGGCACAAATGATTACTCACAAGGCCTCTTTGTGGTACTGCTCCATAACCCGCCTCCACCCTGGCAAAATAACTGGAGAATACAGAACAGGGAACAAAGTAGAATCAGAAAAGTTCAGCATAAGTTCATAACAAATAAAAAGTACAAGAAAAAACACCAAAATAGGAGCCCGTATTTTAACATAAGGAAATTTACACATAGCACACAACTCTATGTATATACATATCTCACACCTAAACTTTCATACCTTTGCGTAAAAAGTTGTATTTCACATTTACAACGTGATAAGAACTAAGAAGGCTATTTTTTATGTGATATTAAATTTTTGAGTGCCATGTATGTAAATATAAAACTTTAGTGTGAGATATGTAAGAACATAAGAATTGTGTCCTATGTATGTAAAGATCATTGAAATGACAATTAACATCAAAGATAATAATGATCATCACAAATAAAATGAGAAAAGGTGAAACTATGCTCAAATTCTCTGCAGCACATTGTAGTAAATTTACTGATTCAGGTGGATTTAAAATCTTGATGCCTACTGTTAAAGTTTTAAAATTAGGGTTCATAAGCTCGATGTGAGAACTTCATCTCCATTCTGAAAATTAACATCAAAATGACAGCTTAGAGAACACACTCTGATAGTTTACCATTTGAAGGCCACTGATTTGGGCCAAAAAAGGGCTTTTCGGCTTGAGGATCATCTTGAGGTACTTCAACGCCAATGTAATATCCTTCTTTGTAATCACCTAGAAACAAATCCAAAAGCATTTCATTTATACACACTTTAGCTCATTAAAACCACAAACACAAAATGAAAATTTTCACTAATCATCATTACCAATAGGTAGCATATAGATTAATAACAATAAATTGTGGCAGCTTTCAATATTTGATCTTCAATGTATTTAGGCAAGGAGCTTCCCATACATTCACAACCATCTCCAAATAATTTTACCTACATAACACCCTCTCAAGTGTATGCTCCTTGGAGTGTAAACTAGTCAGTCAAGCTCGAGCTACCCTCAATTTGAGCTTGAGCTTGATTAATTAATCAAGTTTAAACTCGAGCTCGAGCTTAATTCTAAGAGTTCGAGTATGGTCACGAACTAGCTTGTTAATTATGAAAGATGGAAATATTATTAATTCAAGCTAGTGTTTAGTGTTATAATAAAATGAAAATATAATGAGCAATAAAAAGATAAATAATAATAAATCACTTGATATAAAACACAAACTATTTTTTAAATATTTTTAATTTTTTTAAGATATAGCCTTGAATTAATATATTTTGAGTATATTTTATATTAATTATTTTTTAAACATGTTGGCTCCGAGCTAACAAGTTAGGGTTGGCTTGAGGCACGCCTTATTACCTCATCGAGCCTCTTATCTAGTGGAGCCCGAACCAGCTCAAGAGTTGGTTTGGCTCAGTTATACCGCTAATTGCTCCTCATTCTTCCTTATTAAGAAGTTTGAAACATAGACATGAAATTTTGTTTTGGCATGTTAGTATTGAGAGTGCTGTTCAGATGTAATTAAACGTGAATAAACCTGATTCCAACATTTCAAAACCATCTAATATCTCTCTTGACATCCGTGTTTTATTTTGAAGGTTATTTTGAACTCTAAATTGACAACGTGTGAGCTTTTCGTGCTTTTATAAAGGATTACTAATAATTAAGGGAATCTCAAAGCATAGGAAACAATGACCAAATGACGAAGATAAATAAATACTGTGTAGTATGAATGACATTTTTCCTGGTGAGCTTTTTTGCATAGTTATAAGAACCAGAATGGACCGTCTAGTCTGACCAAGCCAACCGTGAGCTGGTCCTTCGACCAGTTTGTTCTATATCCAAAACTGCTTTCTCATCGTTAAATATTCTTTTAGTAAACATTCATTGCAAGAATTACAACCATATGGCTATTTAGAGAGGAGGAAATCTCCACATAGAAGCGATGTTTGGATTGATGTTTCAAAAGATGTGTTTTAGAATTGCATGGAAATTGAATGCATGATTTTTATAAATACAAGGATTATCTGGGTGAATACAAATATGATAAAAGTTGATTTAAAATTCATGAAAATTACAGTTATTAATATTAGTAGTGCAAGAGACTAGCAAGCTCACAGGTTAAAAGAAAGTTTCGACCTCTCAGGTTCTTAAGATATCAACAATGGGATTTGTTCTCAAATATCAGAGAAGTGGTGACGAGAAGTTCAACGTTGTTAAGCTCTTGGGATGGATCATCAGCAAAAGAATTCATAGAAGATTTTGTTTAGAGTTAAACGAAGGCTGCTAAGTAATATCTCCTCCTCATTTTGCTCATCTTTTTACTTTTTGATGTGACCAGAGGCCAAGACTGCAGGTTGTTCTCCATTACTGATATTAAGATAAAGATAAAGAATCATGAACAGGCCGCGTTCAAAGAACATGAATCATGAGCAGGCACAACACTAGATTTATAAATCACATGATTTGAGTGTTTTTCAATATGCAAATAGAGGTTTAGAAGTAATCCAAATCTCCCAAAATTTCATATATAGGGGCATTTCCATACATACCGCACAATTCTCATATATTTATATATCTAACATCTAAACTTCGATATTTACATGTAAACCACTCAAATCATTAACATCACATAAAAATACCACAAATACCTTTTAAAGTGAAATATATCTTTTCATGAATAGGTTTGTAAATAGATGTAAACAGTGGTGTGTATGTAAATTTCCATTAATATATTTATTCTTGTTGTGAGATATGTACTTCCTGACATAGAAATGAGACGAAAAAAGAATACAAGCAAACACAGATCGTTTACGTGGTTCGATCCAACTGGATCTACGTCCACTGGAGGGAATCAATCAAATATTTCACTAAGGTAAAAGAAATGGAGAATACATAGCTTATACATAGAGATGAGCCCTCATCTTCCTTCTATGGCCTCCCTCTCAAGCGACACCTTGATACAAGGCCTCAAGATGCTCTCCTCCTCTCTAACTCTATAGCTATTCTCTCCTCTTTTATGGTAGCTTAAGATCTCTTCTCTTGCTCTCCTAAGCCTCCCACCCTCTCTATTTATAAGCAAGAGAGTGGTAGGTGAGAGGTAGGTGAGCGATAGGTGAACGGTAGGTGAGATGTGGTTGGTGAGCGGTACCACATTACAAAAGTGTCATTTTACCTTAGTTCATTAATTGGGGGTCAAAATAACAATTCTGCTTAAAACCAAACATCAAAAAATTTGAAAATGCAATAACCTACTAATTGGGCAATAAAACAAACCCTTGGTGAATTTTTGTAAAGCACATAAAAACTAGTAAATTTGGAGAAGAACCAGAATAATTTGATAACTAAACATTCAGCATGAAGCAAAACTAACATCCATCATGTTATGGTATGGTTCATATACCATATAGAAACAGACGCTGTAACGAAGCGGAGCAGAGCGGAGCGAAGCGGAAGAATCTGTCCAAATCGGGAAGTTACATTATGTGGGTTGGGGGTGTTGGGTCAACGCCCCGCTATACGGTACAGGGGTAATTTGGAAATTACATATTGTACTGTAGGGCTTACTCTAGGATTATAAATAGACCTGTTTGTAATCCTAGGTCTTTCAGAGAGTTGAATTTTGTATTCTGTATTCTTTTCTAAATATTGAAAAGGAGGTCGCAACTCTGCTCCCGATGACGTAGGCATCTTTGCCGAACCTCGTTAAATCTATGTGTTCTTCTGGATTTGTGTCGATTCCTATTTTTCTTCGCCCTAATTTTCTCAACAAGTGGTATCAGAGCTAAGGTTTGAGGGCAAGGAAGAAAACTGCGGCGGCGCAGGAAGCAAGAAAACGAGTTTGGTTGGCAAAGGAGTTCGAAGGCTAAGTCTTCGGCGAAGGTTTTGCGCGGGTTCAGTGGTTCCAATCCAGAGATTCGCGGCCAGAAAAAGGAAGGTTCGCGAGGGTCAGAGGCGGTTCGCGGTACCGAAGGCTTCGGTGCGGAAGGCTGCTGGGGAGTTGTCCGTCGCAGGAAGGAGCGAAGGATCGCTGCTTTGCGACAGGCAGAAGCTTTCAGCGACAGGCTTTCAGCGGAGGCTTGCGGGAGGCAGAAAAGGAACCAAAGGCCAGAGGATCGCCGAAATTTTGGCTTCGACAGAGAAGGCGCTCCAGAGGATCGCGGAAGAAGACTGCGGAAATTTCGGCGTGCGAAGAAGGAAGGTTTCGGCGTTGCAGAAGGAAGGGAATATCCTTTGCTAGACAGGAATCAAGGAATATTCGGCTCCGCAAGAATATTCCCTATATTTGGCGGAAAGGAGGCTGGTGCTTTGGAGAAATTGGAAAGGAAAGTTATTAAAAAAAAAATTTCCTTTAAAAAAAAAAAAAAATCTTAGTTCAAAACTAACCTTTATAATGACATATTCATGCAGAAGAACACAAATCTCAATATAAAACAATTAAAGATAATTTATTTTCTTAAAGAACATTTTCTGTCCTAAAAAGATATAATATAATTAGCCACCATATTTATAATTATGCATCACATACAACTCTTCTCTCGACAGCATCTAACCAAAAAACATGCACACAAGATCAAAAACAACCCCTAGCCCTACATGCACATAACCATGCAGACATTCTTACTTAAAAAAAAAAATTTAAATTAAATAAAATAAATTTTAAAAACGAATTTAATATAATCCACTTCACCTCATCAAAACTCTTCCTCTCTGAACTCCAACTGCACTGTCTCGGTTGGGTCTGATAGAATATCTTGAACAGTGATTTCGCAGAGGTATTTCGCGAAAGGTTTCGCTCACGAGACAGCAGTTTAGCCGAGATGCTGGCGCAAACAAGAAAAGTGCTTCAACCCACATTTGTGCATAAGAAACTCCATGATATTTTTCTCCTAAGGGGCTGGGTATTCGCAAGGTGGAGATTTTTCTCCTAAGAGATTGAAGAGATTGAATATTCCCAAGGTGTAGATTTTCTCCTAAAGGGCTGAATATTCGCCAAGGTGGAGAATTGTTAGGTATGACTCATAATACCAGAATTTGGAGTCTTTTGGAATGAAGAGATGTCTCTTGGAATTGAAGAGATGTGTCTCTTGGAATTTAGTGGGTTGAGATCAGCGAGGGCGCAGCAGAAGCATGGTGGCTCAACCCACATGGGTGCAAGTGTAACTCCCAGGTAGCTTTTCTCCTAAGGGGCTGGATATTCGCCAAGGTGGAGATTTGTTATGGTATGACTCATATACCATATAGAGACAGACGCTGGAACGAAACGGAGCAGAGCGGAGCGAAGTGGAAGAATCTGTCCAAATCGGGAAGTTACGTTATGTGGGTTGGGGGTGTTGGGTCAACGCCCCGCTATACGGTACAGGGGTAATTTGGGAATTACATATTGTACTGTAGGGCTTACTCTAGGATTATAAATAGACCTGTTTGTAATCCTAGGTCTTTGAGAGAGCTGAATATTCTATTTTGTAACACTTTTCTAAATAGTGAAAGAAATCGCCGCTCTGCTCCCGAGGATGTAGGCATCTTTGCCGAACCTCGTTAAATCTCTGTGTTCTTCTGGAATTGTGTCGATTACTGTTTTTCTTCGCCCTAATTTTCTCAACACATCATATATAGAGGTGAAGATTCAGGATACATAAACCATGGAAACCTACCATGCACTTGATTTTCAGGATCCAAAAGCTCGTCTAAAGCAGGCGTATAACCTCTATGCTTTTCATTCCGAAGTAGCATCATCTTCTCAGCCAAAGGCAGATTAAAAAATCTCTTACTCTGAAAGAAAACTTCATCCATGAATTCCAAGCTAATTCCATGATCAACTACATAGAAGAATCCACAATCCAGACAAGCCTGAAACAGCAACCAAAAACAGCAGAGATTAGCAGTTACAACATCAAACAGATTACAGCTCATTCAAGCACAAAGCAGAAATCAAAAGATTCAAAAGTAATAGCATATTCATTCCGACTAACTATAAAGGTTTTCCGCTGTAGAATAATAGACTTAATTGCTAGAACTTTTAACCCCTCCTCAGAAACCAAAAAATAATGCACGCATTTATTACCAAAACTCTGATCAATTTAAGATGGCTTCAACAATTCCTAATACAAAATAATGAAAACTTCAAATATAAATGGAAACCCGTCGACATTGAAATAGAGTCAGTAACTCAGTAAGAGAGAAACGAAATCAGGAAAGGCGAGTTCAACCTAAACTATTGGCCAATTATACACACATGGCAGCTACCGCACAGCCAGCAACACCATATAGTAATGAACATCTAACAAAGTAATTGTTATTTTGAGCTGAAAGAACATCTAACTAACCACAATCTAACAAAATTGATTAACAATATGACAGCAAAACCTAGTTCTAATTCTAAACAAGTAAAACACTGGCAAAAAAAAAAAAAAAAACAGAATTAAAGAAAACCTTGTAAAAAGGAGAGAAAATTTGAGATTCAACTTCGACATCAAATCGAAAGGCTCATCAATGTTGGAAAAAGGAAGTTTGAAGAGGCGAACCTGTTTGAGGAGTGAAACAGACTTGTGGATATCAGGATCCGACAGACTGATACAGTTCAGGGCCTTCGTCTTCGCCGCCGCTGGTGCAGCCACCTCGCTCGCCACCCCGTCCATCTCCCTCTCTCTCTCTCTCTCCTCTTCCCTTAACGAGAATCCAATTCTCGTTTTTCTATCCTCTCTTTTTCCCTCTGCTTTCCTTCCCGATATTCTGTTGTTCTTGAACTCCGAAGAGCCGATTTACATTTATACCGCACGCCGAAAGAAATACGCTTCTCTCCATTCGCTCCCTTTAAAAAATATATTTATTTTAATTTAATTAATATATTTACATATCTAACCCTTACATTTTATTTTTTACATTTATACGACCCAACTACTTCTTATCACATAAAAATATCAAAATTTTATTATTTTAATAAATAAAATATAATTTTTAAAGCTTAGATGAAATGAGATACATGTAAAAAATTAAAAAATTATGGATTACATGTGCAAATAGATAGGAATTGAATGGTATGACTTTAATTTTTTTTAATATAATTTAAAGATTAAAATGCTTTATAAAAATGCAAATATTTAAGGGTCTGTTTGGGGCAACTTTTGCGTTTCAAGATAAACATCAAATATTACATGTGCAAATAGATCGCAATAGTCGACCCGCGACCTGAGTCTAGTGTAAAAAACATAAACGCGATAGACAGCATTTTCAAAAACACGCAAACCAAATGATTAGACGATGTTTTTAAAAATGCCGCCGCACTTATAAGTTGCCCCAAGCGGGCCCTAAATTATAGGTATGTAAAAGCATAATTACATATGCGAATTTCCTATACACTAATCATATTTATTAATATGGAAATTTGAATTATCTTCATACTTCAATGAACATGTATGATGGCACGTATGTTATTTATGAAAATTCACTAAGAAAAAAAGAATTCAAGTAGGAAACTAATGGAATTTATGATATAATGATTTAATTTAACTTTATTTTTTATTTTACATTTTATGATAGAAATTGTATAAATTATAGATGATCTTTATCAAATTACAAAAAGTCTTTTGAATGCCATGCATTTAATATTTTCAACCAAACATATAAACATGATAATCTTTTCGTTCTAGAAGGTGAAATTATTTAGCAAAAATTGAATATATATATTTGTGTCGTGGGTCATGGCCTGTTGGTGGAGCAGACTTTTTGAAGGTCGTTAGCCTCCTCAGGTCACGAGTTTGAATTTCTTTCTCGTCCGTTTTTTGATAGGGAGGGCGATCATCGAATAGTTAAACACATGAGGGTGACTAAAGGCTTCTATAATAGCCTCCAACAATTATATATATATCAGTGTGTGTGTGTGTGTGTGTGTGTCGCAAGCTGCGGCCTATTGGTTGGCGGGGTTCATAATAAGTCCCCTAAGATCATGGGTTAGGTCCCTAGTGTCGTTGGGTTCTCAAATATTTAGACACATGACACGGGCTCTCATCATAAGACTTAGCGTATGGGAAATCAGCATTTGGGCCTTAGCCACATATTCTAAACTGTTAGTTGGCATTCACGATATAAGACCTCTTAGGTCGGAAGTTCAAATCCTCTCTAGCATAGTTGGCCTTAAGAATATGATATTCAAATTTTTAGGCTCATTAGTGATAATTGAAAGCTCTGAATATTCCTTTTAATATATATATATATATGGCTTCAACAA